GGAGAAGTCTGGATCTCATTTTCATATACGATATATTTAAACATTTATTCAATCCTAGTGTACACATCAAGTAGTTTCAGAATTGCTAACCTATAATTTGTGAAAAATAAATTTACCAGAGTGTAATAGTGGTTTGTAGTGTTGGGTTTTGGGGTGGTTTTTTTTTTGGTCTTTAGTATTTATAGTGTATAATCAAAGTACCATTTTCCAAAGTTACTTAGTTTAGTTATTTTCTTTCTCACCCCCTTCAGTGTGGTTAAATTAATGAAGTAAAAGTCAGTCCCTAGAGTTCAAAAGCAAAATGAAACAATTGAATCTAGCTGTGTATCAACTGGACAACCTAACTCCCAGAGAGGAATTATTTCTAGGGTCTATATTTTTGTACATTTTCATTTTGATATAATTTTATTTTGTAACTCCAATATACCCTTCATCTAGATTCACTAACTGTGTTTACAATTTATTTTAACAATTTGCTCTCTCTCTCTCCTCTGTATCTCTGTCTCTGCCTCTGAGTACCTACATAGATGCGCACGTGCACGCACACACACACAGACACACACATCACTTTTTGTCTGAACCATTGGAGAGTAAGTCATAGGCATTGTACCCTTTTATCCCCTAAATACTTTAGTGAGTGTTTTCTAAGTATAAGTACCTTCTCTTGTATTACCACAGTTCAGTTCTTAGGAAATTAAGAATACTGTTCTCTAATCAAGATCCATATTTAAATTTATCATTTCTTTCAACGTCCTTTATAGCTATCATTTCCCCAATCCAGGATCACTGATTACATTTAGTCTTCATGTCTCTTTAGTCCCCTTTAACCTGGATGAGTTCCTCAGCCTTTCTTTTTCTTTCATAACCTTTTAGTTTTTGAAGAGTAATGGCCAGTTGTTTTGCAGATTGTCCCTCAGTTTGGGTTTGTCTGTATTTCCTCAGAATTGGATTCAGATTTAGTACAGAATTGACACATCCTTCTCAATATATCAAATCCGGAAGAACATGATGTCCATTTGATGTTGACTTTGTTCACTGGTTAAGTGGTGTCTGTCAAATTTCTCTGTAAAGTTGCTATTTTTTCCCTTTGAAATTAATAAGCAATTTTGGAGAAATAACATTAAGACTATACCCATTCCTCATAAAAATTTTATCCTCTGGTTTTAACTTACATTGATGAATAACATTAAGACTATACCCATTCCTCATAAAAATTTTATCCTCTGGTTTTAACTTACATTTATCCTCTGGTTTTAACTTACATTTTTGCCTGAATCAGTCATCACTGTGATGGTTACAAAGTGATTTGCACTGTGTCACTCTGCGTTTTTTAGTTGGCATTCTGCTGTAAGGAAGAGTTTTCCTTTGTTCTCTCATTTATTTATTTGTCAGTATGATCTCATGGGGGATTTTTGTTCAGTAATCCATTACTATTTTTATTTTGATGTTTATATAGTCCTAGGCTTAGCCACTGAGCTTCAGGCTTCAACTGTTACTTTGATATGTCTCCATCATTCTTTAAGCTATTCTTTAAGCACTTCCATACATCTGGCACAGTAATATAGGATTATGCTTTCTCTACCCAAGCCCTGCCTACAATTAGCCATTTATCTAATTTGCCTTGGTTCTGTCTTGTGGAGAATGATATTTAGAAACCACAGCCTGCTAGGTTCTAGAACCATTGCTTCTAGGCCCTCTCAATGGACATAGCTAGAATATACATACATGCGCGCACACACACACACACACACACACACACACACACAGAATGGAAATATGCATATATGCATATCGTATGGATTAATTTGTATATTTTTATATATGCATATGTACATACATAAACATACAAACATATTCATCTCTATTTCTATAACTGTGTGTATATGTATGTATGTGAGTGTGTATACACACACATACCCCAACCGTGAATTATTACTGATATCTCTAATCCACTCTGATGCCACGGATTTATTCTAGTTTTCCTTTCTGTATTTGTAACTTCCTTCTCCTGCAGTGAAAGCCCTTACTCCTGTTACCCCTAGTATATTTACTCATTTGCTCAATCCTAGATTACACAGAGAGTAGTTTCAGGATTGCTAACGCTGCCACTGCAGAAAAGAAGCCTCCTTTCAAGCATGTATTTAAAACTACTATGACTGTATGTACTTAGCAGGATCTAACTCTAAGTGATTGGGGGGAGACAAAAATCTTACACTGTTTTCAGTAATTGTGTTTTGGGTGGATCATAATGGTACTGTTTTTATGAGACTGTTTTACATGTGTGTGTGTGTGTGTGTATAGATAATGGAATAAATCAAATGAGTAATTGATATTGGTGTGGTTAAGAACTGAGTTTTTCAGCATGGTCAGAAAGAAATACAGATATGAGGTTGATGAAGTTAAAATTCCACAGACATAATTTGAACTAAAAATATCAGTGTGACCTTATGTATTTTGTCATATATGCACATATTTATATATACTACACAGAAACCACTTCCTATATTTGACCACCGAATAGGCCTGGGAAGCATTCAGATTATTATCTCTAAATACCATTTTCCTATTCCTGCCTATGGCTGAACTGTTTCTTAGCTACTTATCCTGAAGCCTGGCCAAAGAGAGGAAGAATGAGATGCTCCCATGCTATGAAGACCTTTACTCTGGTCCTGCTGGTGGACCTGCTGTGTGCAGAGTGTCAGGGTCAGTGCTGCTGCGAGTGCTTGGCGGCCTCACACATAAGCTCCTGCCAGCCGGCCACATGCTCCTTCCTTGGTGGGGTCTGTGTCTCCAGGAAGTGACCTTCATTGTTGTCTGAGAAAGAGAGGGTGGAGAACAAGTTCTACCTTCCTTCCTGCCCCGACAATACCTTGGTAATTCAGGATATGCAAATTTGGGGCACCAAGATGAACTCCAAGCTTTCTTATTGGAAGAAGGAACTCTGTAATACAGTGGACCAGGCCGCAGTCAGTGTGTGGACCCAGGTCAGGGAACCCCTGCTCAGCCCAGGGTTTGCCCTTCTCTGGGCCCTATTTTGATGGCCCTTTCCCGTGACCCCTCTTCTCTCCCAGTACTTACCAGGCTTCTCAGTCTTTGGGCAGTTTGGCACTGAGTTACAGAAATTCTGGTGTGGTTTTTAGCCATGAGGTTAGGGGAAGGATGTGGGCAGGGCAGGACTGGGGGCTTCCTTGTCTAGGGACTCTGACACCAGTGAGTCCCTGGTGGGCAGACATTGAATCCCTGCTTAGGCTCACCCCCTTTCTCTGGGCCCACTGCCACCTCTGTCCAAAGCAAGGAAGGAACCCAGGTCTCCAGGGATACCTGCAGGCCTCGCCCATATGGCATGACCATCCCTCCCTTGCAATGTCAGTGAACACCCTTCTGCTTAGGAGGGGAAAAAAACATTTCTCACTAAAAGAAACCAGGATTCCTGGGGGGGGGGGGGAGGCTAAATCCTGGTCTGGGCAGGAAATATACAAGAGGAGTATGGAAAGTGTTGAAAGCTAGGGAATTATCAGTGACTACAGGTCTTTGATACAACATACGAACATAAATATGCACATATCCATATCTCTCTCTGTATCCATATGTACGTGTACATGTGCATACACAGACATAACACCTAACCATGAGTATACTAATGTCTCCAAATCTATTCTAACACCACACATTTTATTCTAGTCTTCCTCCTTTCCATATTTGACTGGATTGTGTCAAAAGAACTCAGGAGCCAACTCAAAGAGGCTCCCACAGGCCATATTTGAACAGCAGTAGGAATAGTAATATGGCAAATATCTTTAAATGCATGACTTCATTGCTTTCCTTAAAAACTAATAATAATAATAAAAACCTTCACTGAACACTTTTAGAGGATGTTATTTTGGAAACTGATTATTTATTTAAAGAGAAAGAATCAAACATTTAGCTTGTGTCTTCTATATGAATTATATATCAGGGTAACCAAAAAATTGATAAAGGGAATTGTAACCCCTAGTGAAGCAATGACAATCAATTCAAAAGAAAGACAGATACCCTGTGCCTCTTGATAGAAATTCAGACACCACCTATGAAATACTCTACCCAAAAGTCAAATCTTAACCTGATCCAGTCTCAAGATAGAGCTTCCAGTTTAGAGGAAATACAGGGAGGAGAGGCACCTGTTCAGTGACACAGTAGGAATGCAGTTGGCAAAATGTAGACTGTGAGAAACTATAGGACAGGTTCCTGGTCTCCTTAACAAATAAGTTGCATTTGATAAAAAGGAAGATTGAAGACCGGGAGTATCTTAAAAGAGACTTGAAGCATAACTAATTGCAATGTATGGGGCATATTTGGTTCTACATCCAAACATGCAAACTTAAAAAATTATGAGATAAGCAGGGAAGTTGGAACACAGACTATATATTTGGTACTAAGAATTAGTTTTTTTAAGTGTGCCAATAGTAATATATGTTTTACAAGAGTTCATATCTTTAGAAATAAATGTTGAAATCTGTAAGGATGAAATAGTATGATGCCTATGATTTGCTTTCTAACAATCTTGAAGGGTAAGGTTGTGGTAGACATTAAACAGGATTTCCGTTACGAGGTCATTATACTTTTCTCTGTTTTTGTCTATGTTTGAAATTTTCTACAATAAAATTAAAAAATAAAAAAGTGTTGCTGCCAGCTCTGAGGACTTTCCCAAGAGGGCAGGATGGTGTCCTGGGAAATGAGTGCCACTCATAATGTGCCCATGTGCGAGCCACAAGCTCAGAGGGTGGGACACCATGTCCTTCTCATTACTCTGTCCCTGACACTCAGTAAACTGTAGGTGAAGAGATGAATGATGCCGAAGGTACAGCTGACATTTGGGTGGATGCTGTTCCCACATCAGTCCCATGACTCATGATTGTGAGAGCTGGCCACTGACACCTGATGGTATTTAAGCACTTCTTTGTTCTTGGGGCTGCTGCCATCATATGTGTAGACATGATGTGTATGACCCTCCTCCTTCCCAGGCTCAGGCCCGATGTCACCGCATAGGCCAGAGCAAAGCCGTGAAGGTGTATCGCCTCATCACTCGGAACTCCTACGAGAGGGAAATGTTTGACAAGGCCAGCCTAAAGCTGGGCCTGGACAAGGCTGTTCTTCAGGACATCAACCGGAAGGGCGGCACCAATGGGGTGAGTATGATGGACCTGCTCTGGAGCCTTCAGGAGCATTGGTCACGCAGCCTGGGCCTCTCCAGGGCTTTCTCCTTATGGCTGTTTCAGGGTTCACATTCACTGTATTGAGTCAGCTCACACATCACTGTTGGGTAATTCCCTGTAGTAGAGGATAGTTCAGGGTCAGGTCTCTGCATTTTCTAGATGAATAAAGGAAATCTGTAGGAATAGTTATGTGGTAGGATTACTCAACATGCAATAACATTTCAGTAAGCAGAATTTTTAACCATGCCCATTAGAAGCCAGTAGATCTTAACACTCTTAACTATGTGAATATGTATTTATTACCATGCCTTACCTCATACTCCAGACTTTGACCTTCTCAAGAGTATAGTGGGATCAATTTTATCTGTGTCCCCTATGGCCTTTAGCAGTGCTGGGCATATTAAAGATGTTGAATGCATGATGAGATGATTAGTGAATAAATGAATGAATAAGTTAGCAGCTTGAAATATGGCAGTTAAAATCTTTTCCCCCTCTGGAGGATGGATAAAAATTACAGCTAAGAGTCTTAAATTGTCTTAAAGTATAGGCAAATAGAGCAGAATATGTCCTTAATCTCTGGGCTCAGGGCATCAAAGATTGGGAAATAAAACCTTCCAAATGACTTTAGTGCAGATGTTCTATATCCTCTTAGCTATGCATATGTTGCTAAGTATAATACTTCAAATTACCCATGCTGGGAGTCATGGAATTCCCTCTTGTGATTGATATAAAGAGAACCAGATTCTTAATTAGAACCAGGAAAGGGTGTTTTGAACCCCGTTTCCTGTTTTCAGCAAGCAGTTGAGAAGATCACACTTGGCACAGGATCCTTTTATTTCTTTTCCAGTTAAGAAATGACATCATTTCCAATACTAATGTATTTATTTAATAATAAATAAATCATTATTCTTCAGTTTGTTTGGTACATCTGGAGGTTTTTAAAGATACAGGCTCAAACTAAAATAGAAAGATGTCAAATATATCCTTTTCAGTGATGCATAGTTTTAATGGCTTGTGACAGGTGATAATAACCAAAATCCTGAAGAATGTTAGGGCTCTTGGATTATGTATTGGGCTTTATTCCAGAACTCCCTATGGAGGATTGTCTGCCTGCCCTCCCCAGAGTACCTTTCTGAAGTTTGTTGTCCATGTCCTTTGTTCCTCTGACATGTGGAGGAACTGTGCTCTGAATCATAAAGGGCAGATTTGAAGCTATTTTTCTCCTGTGCATTTTCCACTTTGTGAGTAGCCTTTGGTGACCTGTCCAGGTACAGCAGCTCTCAAAAATGGAGGTGGAAGACCTGCTCCGGAAAGGTGCCTATGGAGCCTTAATGGACGAGGAAGACGAAGGCTCCAAGTTCTGTGAAGAAGACATAGACCAGATTCTGCAGAGGAGAACCCACACCATCACCATCCAGTCTGAGGGGAAAGGGTCCACTTTTGCCAAGGTACAGAATGTTCTCCAGAGAATGGGAGGGAAGAGAAAACTGTTTGTTCTTCGATCCTCATTAGCAAGGCTTCCATTTCTCTAAATGTAAACCCTTGAGGTTGTCTGGCTGTACACCTAGTCTGCATGACTCTGAAGACGTAGGTCCTTAGAGGAAGTCTGAATAGTGAGTCAAGGGCCATGGAAAGAAAACCCCACTCCTAACCTGTGAGAGCTGATCCTGAGCAGGCAGGAGAGGCGCTTTAGATTGTAGTTGCTCCGTTCGCTCTTCACAAGGATGGCTCTGAAACCTTTGAGTGGTCGTCTTGATGCCCTTGGAGAGCACTCCTTGATCACTGTCAGGAAGCAGAACCTCCAGTGAACGCTCTGTTCCTCAACTGAATGTGGTGTTCATTTCATGGGAAAGAGCTTTTACGTAAGATTCCCAGCTTCAGGTCTAGGTGCCTCTTTCCTCTGCTGTTCAAGTCACTGGGTGTAGAATTTAGCAGATCACTCAGGTTTCCCAGGCCACAGGCTCTGCCAATTCTTGTGTGAGCTTTGTGCCCTATTTGATTAAATCTCCTGTTTGGTGACTTGTTTAGTACTTTTTCAGTGGGACATTTTGTGCTTTACAGGGAGAATATGGCTGATTGAACGCTTATCTCTACACCCTATGCTGCCCAGCCCAGTGCCTTTTCCATAACAGACATTTGTTAACTGTTGAACTGATGGAAAAATTAAATCCAGCAAAGTTTTAAGAATTAACCCTTTCGGGCCGGCCCGGTGGCACACTGCTACAGTGCGCCGCTTGGGAAGCGCGACGGCGCTCCCGCTGAGGGTTTGGATCCCACATACAGACCGGCCGCTCACTGGCTGAGCAAGGAGCGGGGGCAACGCCGAGGGTTGCGATTCCGTTGCCGGTCCCAGTCCGGTACGGGCGCGACACTGAGGGTTGCGATCCGTTGCTGGTCACGAAAAAAGACAAAAAGACAAAAAAAAAAAAAGAATTAACCCTTTCATAGAGAAGTAGACACCATGTAACATGTTGCTTCCAAGTTTAAGTTCCAAAAAATAATCCTATAGATTGAAATTGTAATTTCCTCACACAGTGTTTATAACAAGAGAAAAAAGAATAGTTTTGAGATTTACACATTCATTTTAGAAACTCTGTTAGGGGTTTAGGTTTTAAAGGCAGGTAGATAATATACTTAAGTTTTGGTGCATTTGAAATAACAGGTGTTTTATTAGTTTGTACTGTGTTCAAGTACAGTTTATTGACTCTTATCTTCTTCACAGGCTAGCTTTGTGGCTTCAGGAAACAGAACAGATATTTCCTTAGATGATCCTAACTTTTGGCAGAAATGGGCTAAAATAGCTGAACTAGACACCGAAGCAAAGAATGAAAAGGTACAGCATAAAAATATTCTGTTCCTTTGAATATTTCACTGGTATCTTATTTGATTATAAATTCCTATATAGCTCAAGTCATTATTTACTCCCAAGTCTTGGTTCTTAAATGAGATATTTGTAACATTAAAACATGCCTTGGCATGTAGATAGCACTTGATAAATGTTAACTGTTATAATTTTAGAAGGGCCTAATGGGACATACAGTCAGCTGAGTACCCATGAAGTTAAACGAAGGCAATTAAAACTGGAACTGGCCAAACAGGTCAAGTTCAGCCCCATGTCTCAAGCCAACATTTCATCCCTGGCATGTGACTATTTTACCTATATTTCAACACTTCCTCACCAATGACAAGTAATAGGAAGAGGGGAAAAGCATGACAAAGAAAAGTTTGTTGGCTTTACCTCCTTCTTTCAGTGTCTCGAGTTTCTCTGTTTCTGAACATGAGAAAGAGAATGGGCTTAGGAATGAAACTAGAGCATGGATTTGGGCAAGGTGCTTGACCTCCCTGAGACAAGTGGCAAAAGGAGGTGGTACCGCCCACACTGCAGGGTTGGGAGGTAACACTGGTGAGCGTAACTGGCTCCAGTACCTAGCCCACTGTGATGCACCCCTTAAATGTTAGATTCCCTACCTCCAGCTCTGACCCTATATCCTCACTTTCTACCCATCTTCTCATGTGAGGGCTGGACTCTCATGGCCTCACAAACCCAGAAGTTAATCCTTGCTTTTGTCACACTGATTCAGTCACCCGTCCCAACCAGAACTATTCTTCTATTTACCCACCAGAGGTTGCTTAATCCAATTTAATCTTCTAAGAAGATTCTGCAGTCCCCTTTAGGAACCTGTTTTAAGCATTTTACAGTGTCACAATCAAGAATTTACTCTGTGTGCAGGACAGTGGGGTCTCAGAGAGGGGAAGAAAGAGCTCTTGTCCTATAGGCAGTAAGAAGCAGTTAGATCATTTTGAGGTGGGAAGCAAGGTGACTGGAGCAGGGATAACACTAGAAATTTGTGATCTGGGCTCCACAGAGGGGTGTTGAGGCGTGAGGAGCAGGAAATGGTGGAGACTAGAGAAAGAACAACAGGTGCGGCCAGGGGAGCCACCATAATGAGGAGGTTCCTGAGCTAGGGATTGTGTTCTCAGTGAAAGACAAAAGGCTGAAAGATAGTAACAGTGGAAGGCAGAGAATGAAGCAACAAGAACATGTTTGTCTTCAGAAAGTTGTTGAGCAGATGGAGTTCTCTGACTTGTTCTGGCTCAGAACACAGACTGTTCTCTGCATTCTGGGCAGAACAGCGGGAGCTCACCACTCCAGTCTTTCTTGGCAAGAGCAGACTGCCAGTCCAGGCACTGGGGAGTCTTGCTGGCCATACCCTTGCTAGAATGACTGCAGAAACAGCAGATGGAGGCAGACAGCACTGGGGGCCGGGGTGCAGGCCAACTAGAGCAAGTCCCAGAGAAGCCTCTTGGCTTGTCCAGTGGTCATGGCAACAGCAGGTATGCTGAGAAGAAAGAGCCGTTCTTGCTGGAGAATGAGATGGGGGCGAGGTTCCTTCCCAAATGTGTCCTGTGAAATAGCACCAGGAGATGTGTGTGCACTGTGGTGGGAGATGGGAGTGGAAAGAAGAGGGGCTTTCTCAACAACAGTCCTCTCCATTTCCAGGAAAGCTTAGTGATTGACCGACCTCGTGTGAGGAAGCAGACCAAACACTACAACTCGTTTGAGGAGGACGAGCTCATGGAGTTCTCAGAGTTAGACAGTGACTCAGATGAAAGGCCCACCAGATCCAGGCGCCTCAATGACAAAGCCAGACGCTACCTGCGAGCCGAGTGCTTCCGGGTGGAGAAGAACCTGCTCATCTTTGGGTGGATATTAGCTCTGCTTAGTGGGGGGGGGGGTCCCCCTGTTTTTCAGTCCCTGGGATTTGTCCAGTGTGTCTCTGCAGCCACTTCTGGAATTACGGGCTGATGGGGAGCTGTTAGAGCAAGAGAGAACTGCACTTTCTGCCCCAAATCCCCCTCAGTCATTGTATGCTCTGCACCAAAATATAGACATGCCGTGATTTTCTCACTTGCTTGTCACAGCAAATCTCTGGTACTGATTTGCTGTCTGGTACTGATTTCCTGCTTTATCCCCCGCAAGAATATGTAAGGAGTCAGTGCAACAGATGCTACAGTCATGGCATGACTCGTGCAGGCTCTGGCTTTGGTGGAAATAGAAGGTTCAGCTCCTGCGAGTTCACCATTGCTTTTGAATACTACAACTGGACTCTCTTAATTCCAAATTTTTTACCTGATCCCAATATTTTGATCCCTCCCTTCTTAACATTCTAGTGGCCATATGAGGCTCTCAGTGTCCAATGTTCCAGTCACCTTAGTGACATTTGGTGTGCTACAGTCATACAGTCCTCAAAGGCCTTTCAGACACAGCCCCTAGGGTGGTTAATGGGCCCAGCAGAGAACGAGAAGCACTGTGGCTTTTGGATATGCTGCTGTGGGGAGGGTGTGGTGTGGCCCTTTTTCCACTAACACCTTTCTGTATTTCCACCATCAGCTGGGGCCGGTGGAAAGACATCCTTACTCATGGGCGATTCAAGTGGCATCTGAACGAAAAGGACATGGAGATGATTTGCCGTGCCCTGCTAGTGTACTGTGTCAAGCATTATAAGGGGGATGAAAAGATTAAGAGTTTTATTTGGGAATTGATCACACCTACCAAAGATGGGCAGGCCCAGACCCTCCAGAACCACTCAGGTGAGAGGAGGCAGGGCCACGCCTGAGAAGCAGACCCCCTGCACTTTCATCCCCTCTTCTTGGGTGGGTCCATGTTGCTGTACTTTGGGTGACTTCTCTTTTTCAGATGAATTACAGGGGCAAAGATGAATTACATCCTTGGGACAAGGATGAGGATGCTTTCAGTTCTCCCTCAGAGTCATCCCTTCTTACGTCTGAGATTTTAAGTACAGCTGGGCCTGTCAAAGCTTTCCACATGCCAGTCCTGTCCACTGACTGAGTCTTACAGGGGTTCCTCTCCTGAATCAGGGACTCACACCTTGTGCTCTCTGATTTCCTTTTACCTTTCACCGTTCTGTCCCTGTTCCACCTCTGGCTGTGCCTTTTTTTGTACTGTGTTTCTCCTTCCCTGGGCTTAGACACAGTTCCCCTCAGGTTACAGGCCAAGTGTTCCTTTTCCCCAGCTAGGTTGTGAGTTCCGAAGGACACAGGTTATGTTACACCTTTCTTGATTCTCACAGAGTACTTGGTAAGCCTTACTGACTGACTAAAGGGAAGTAGGGGACCACGGACCTTGCCTCACTACCATCATGTGGACTGAGGAGCAGGGTCTGTCATCCAGGGCCCACCATGCATGGCCTGGATGCCTCTTTGCAATGCCAGCCTAGCTCTGTTCCAACACCCTTGTGTAAGCCCCCTTGGCTCATCCACTTGCCCTACACTGTCTTTCTGTTTCAGGGTTGTCGGCCCCAGTCCCCAGAGGGAGGAAAGGGAAGAAGACGAAGAACCAGCTGCTGCTCCCAGAGCTAAAGAATGCAGACTGGCTGGCCACCTGCAACCCTGAAGTGGTCTTACATGATGATGGCTACAAGAAACACCTCAAGCAGCACTGCAACAAGTGAGTGTGCCTCTCCTATCCCGTGGTGGCAGCCCTGCTCAGCCTGTCTGGGCTCCTGGGAATCCCACAGGAGACCCCTTCATGCTCCTGTAGTACATACGGTCTTACATGATGATGGCTACAAGAAACACCTCAAGCAGCACTGCAACAAGTGAGTGTGCCCCTCCTATCCCGTGGTGGCAGCCCTGCTCAGCCTGTCTGGGCTCCTGGGAACCCCACAGGAGACCCCTTCATGCTCCTGTAGTACATACTGTGCAATATGCAAGGTCTGGAGAGACAGGATATGTTATCTGTGGCCTGAACTGGGTCAGAATTCATTGACTTTAAAGCTCCTCTAACTCCTTTGACGACATTTCTTCTCTCCCACAGCATCTGGCCTCTCTGCCAATGCATTGTATACCCTTGGGGATTTTTCTAATCTGACTCCCCAAAGCCCATCAGCATACCCTCTGCTGCTGAGGACACATTAGTGAGGGCAGGACACTGGGGTCACTGACCACTGCTCCCAGCCCCCTATGCCAGGTTGCCTCCTTTTCCAATTCACTGGTGCCATTCATGGCCTCCAGTTATTTGATAGGCATGCACTTGAGAAAGTATCCTTTATATCCATAGGCAAAAAGCTGAGGGGGGTGGGTAAAGAATGGGGGGCAGCAAAAAACAGTGATGGAAAATGAAACTCTGTTCTTCTGTGGTTTAGTCTTGGGGAGTTAGGGCACTCAGCCACAAAACAATGACAAGTTTGCACGTGGATATTTGCATCCCTGTACAGTGTTTCTGACCTTTGCAAATTATCTATTCCAACTCTAGGTCATACAAGAGTTATTGCCCCAGCATTCCTGGCAGACAGTGAAGTTTCTGCCTGCACACCTCTGGTTATCAAGAGTTTATTACCTTATAGGTTAAGATATTTTTGTTGGTTTTTCCTGCCTCCCTGTAACATGCACTTTGTGGTTCTATAGTTATAGTTGGGTTGAGACTTAAAGGACACATACTGTTGATAGTAGAGCATGGCTGGTGTAGAATCCAGTGATGTGTTTGATGTTACTGAATCATAGTCACCATATGGGGAACTGAGAAAGAGGAGGTTAGTTGGGTAAGGGAATCCATTGAGAGTATACCTGACATGCCAGGCTAACTAAAGATTTTATTGTAAATACAAAGAAACGATGTTTCTTGAACAAGTGAGGCACATGATTAAAAAAAAGAAGAAGAATGATATTTGGGAAGAAAAACTAATCCGGCAACAGTTTGCAAGATACAGAGGAAAGTGAACCAAGAGCTAAATGGCCAACTATGAGAGTTCTATCATAATTAGCAAATTTACTACCATCCCATTATCAGATAAGGGTTAAAACAGACTCAGGGATCAAGACTACCTGGATTTAAATTCTGGCCCCATTACTTGGCCAGCAGGTGAATTACTTAACCTACATGTATAAAATGAAGATAATAATAGTTCCTACTTCCTAGCATTGTTATGAGGGTTAAGTGAGCTAATTCATGCCTGGCACACAGTAAGCACTCAACATTGTTTGTTGTTAGTAGTAATATATTACTTAGAGACGTGAAATTGTTGTCAACAGAACTTTAAAAAGTTAAAAAGCAACTGCTTCAAAACCAAGCTAAAAAAAAAAATCAGGATGGTGGTTATCCATTGGGGAATGGGACAGTGACTAGACGGGAACACCAGGGGGGACTTCTGGGGAAATAGTCTGCTTCCTGGTCTGGATGCTGAATACACATGTGTTTTGCTTGTGGAAATTCATGACACTGTACATTTATGCAAAGTGTGCTTTTTGGAAGTATATTTCACATCAATAAAATGGAAAAAGAAAGGAAAAGAGATGCAGCCACCCAAAATATTAATCAGTTGTTTTGTTTGGCCAAAGCGAGATTGCTACAAACCTACTGCATGCTCCAGCTGTCCTGCCCTTTGAGTTCAGACACCAACTGGGATTATAAACTCACTCTGGGAGGAGATGACTCTATGAGAATTGTCCTTCTGTCCCCTAAATTGATTTGCTTCCTGTTTGGAGAACAAGTGAATACTATTGGCTTTAAATTCTATTTTCTCATGCTAACAATACTGCCAAACATCAACACATTTGCTGCTTTTTAGAAAAACAGAAACAGTTCTCCCTATCTTAAATCTTAAGGAAGCCTTACTGCAATTGAGCTAGACCTCTGCAGGTAGGACTCTGACATTCTGTTCTAGTTGTTACTAAAGAGGCCATCAGCTACTACCACCTAGGGATAAGGATCAGCAATGGTTGTAAATTCTTAGAGTTCTTATTCTCTGGGCTTCAAAAAAAAAAAACCTCAAAATTCTTGGAGTTGATTGACAGCTGAGGTAAGGAATAGCATACCAGAGACCCAAGAGTTCTTTTCAATCTAAAGTTCTAACTTTGTGCGTTTCACCTATTACTTGAGCCCACAGTGGAACTTTCTACCCAGGTATAATAGAAATTTTGCTTGTGTTAAAGCCTCAAACCTTCATTATTAACTTCTTTTGAATAACTTATATATGTGTGTGTATTAGTCCATTTATGTTGCCTTTTTACCTGAAACTGGGTGATTTATAAAGAAAGTGAAGTTTATTTCTTACAGTTTCTGAAGCTGGTAAGTCCATGTAGTGGTGGCAACAGTGACCCAGGGGTCTCACATTGCAAGATGGTGGAAGCAGATAGAGAGAGCTTGTCACTCCCTCTCTTTTTAAAGCCCTCAGAACCACGCCCCTGGCCACCATTTTTAGTCCATTCACTACTGGACAGTCCTACAATCCAATCACCTCTTCAAGGCTCCACCTTTCAGTTACCATAATAGGATTTTCCACCCTCTTTACAGTCACTGTGGGGGCTAAATTTTTAATACATAAAACCTGGGGGACACAATTCAAGTTTCAGGGAGTTTTGGGGGGACGTAATTCAATCCACTACATTCCGCCCTGGCCTCCCAAAGCTCATGTCCTTTTCACATACAAATACATTCATTTCATCCCCAAAGTCTCAACTTGTTTGAATTCAAAAGTCAAAAGTTCAAAGTCCCATCTATGAAATTCAAAACAAGTTATCTACTTCCAAGATACAATGATGGGACAAACATAGGGTACATATTCCCATTCCAAAAGGGAGAAATAGGCCAAAAGAAAGGAGAAACACGTCCCAAACAACTCCTAAACCCAGCAGAGCAGGCATTAAATCTCAAAGCTGGTGAATCATGTACCTTGACTCCATGTTTGATGTCCTGTGCCTGCTGGTGTGGGGGTTGTGTCCCCAAGTCCTCGGATAGCTCTACTCCTATGGCTTTCCTGGTTGCAGGCCACACTTCAGCTCTCCCAGGCTGGGGTTCCACTCTGGTAGCTCCACAAGTCTGGGGTCTCCATGGCGGTCCTGCTCTCATGGCTCCACTAGACATGGCACTGATGGGATTTCTCTGCTGCAACTCCAACCCCATGTTTCCACTCTGCATTGCTCTAGTGAAGGTTGTGTGCGGTAACTCCATAGATCTCTTCCAAGGCCCCCAGACTTTTCCAGTCATCCTCTGAAATCGGGGTGGAGGCTCCCAAGCCTTCCCAGCTCTGGCATTCTCTGAGCCTGTAGACTTAACACCACATGGACACTGTCAAGGCTTCTGGCTTCTATTTTCCAAAGCTGCATGTCCAGCACACCTGGGGTCAATTTACCCACAACTGGAGTAGCCAAAGCAGCTGGGGGTGCTGGTGCTGGAAGCAGCTTCCCAAGGTGGTCCTGGGCAGTGAGCCCATGGAGGGCTCCTCAAGCCTGTTCCCCAAGAGCATTCTGTCTCCCTAGGTCTTTGGGCCAGAAATGGAAGAGCTGTTCCCAGAGACTTCTGTAATGCCTTCAGGTCTTTTTCTCCTTCTCTTGATAATCCCTTTCCTTTGTACTAATCTGCTTAGCTAATCTCTGGGCTGCACCATTGCATGCTCTCTGCTTCTCTACCACATGGCCAGGCTGCAGATTTTCCAAATCTTTACATTCTGCTTTCCTTTTAAATGCTGGCTTCATGTTGTACCTTTGCCACCATAACTCAGAGTAGTCTGTTGCAAGTAGCCATGCAGCTTCCTTAATGCTTTGCTGCTTAGAAATTTCTTCTGCCATATACTCTGGTTCACAACTCTTAAGTTCCAACTTCCACAAAGTCCTAGGGCATGGACAGAATGCAACCAAATTCCTTGCCAGTTCACAGCAAGAGTGATCTTTGCCCTAGTTTCCAATAAACTCCTTATTTCCATCTGAGATGTCCTTAAAATGGTCTTTACAGTTCATATTTCTATCAGCATTCTGCTCGCCACCACGTAACCAGTCTCTAAGACATTCCAAACTTTCTGTGTTTTTTTTGTCTTCTTCTGAGTCTCCAACCTCTCCTCAACACCCAGTTCCAAAGCCATTTCCACATTTTCAGGTATTTGTTATAAGCAACACCCAGTTCTCTGATACCAGTTTTCTGTATTAGTTCATTTTGTTGCTTATAACAAAATACCTGTAACTGGGTGATTTATAAAGAAAACAAAATTAATTGTTTACAGTTTCTGAGGCTGATAAGTCCAAAGTCCATCTGGTAGTGGCGACAATAACCCAGGGGTCTCACATTGCGAGATGGTGGAAGCAGAGAGCATAGAGAGAAAGAGAGAGAGCTTCTCATTCACTCTCTTTTTAAAGCCCTCAGAACCACACCCCTGACCACCATTTTTAATTCATTCACTACTGCATGGTCCTACAGTCCAATCACCTTTTCTTTTTTTTTTTTTGTCTTTTTCGTGACCGGTAAGGGGATTGCAACCCTTGGTGTGGTGTCGCCCGCACCGCGCTCAGCCAGTGAGCGCACCAGCCATTCCTATATAGGATCCGAACCCGCGGCGGGAGCATTGCTGCGCTCCCAGCGCTGCACTCTCCCAAGTGCACCACAGGGTCGGCCCCCAATCACCTTTTCAAGGCTCCACCTTTCAATGACAGTAATAGGATTTCCCAACCTCTTAACAGTCGCAGCGGGGGCTAAGTTTTTAATACATAAAACTTGGAGGACACAATTCAAGTTTCAAGGAGTTTTGGGGGGACATAATTCAATCCACTACAATGTGTTAAAAAAAAATTCTGTCAAAAGTAAGTTTTCCTCCCATCTCCAGTTCCTCTGTTGCCCACTCCAGGTTGACCAGTGTTAACCTGGTTCTTCCAGAGAGACTCTATGCATGTACCAGCATATGTGAGTCTACAACCTACTTTTTGTCTTTCTTAAAATGGTGTGTATTTTACAAACTGTTTGTGATCCTTTTTTTAACAAATTAGCTGGAGATCAGTTTCTATATGAATATATGTAAACAGATTTTTATTTTAAATGGCTAGCCTTCACTCTTGACTGGTATTGAGCAAATTACAAGCACTCTTCTAAATCTCGCTGCAGCTTAGCCTTGAACATGAAGCATTTTTAACAAATTAGCTGGAGATCAGTTTCTATATGAATATATGTAAACAGATTTTTATTTTTAATGGCTAGCCTTCACTCTTGACTGGTATTGAGCAAATTACAAGCACTCTTCTAAATCTCGCTGCAGCTTAGCCTTGAACATGAAGCGTCTCTTCAACAGTGGTCTGCTTCTCTGTGCCTGCCCTTCTTTTCATCCCATTTTTGCACACATTGAGCCAGGCCCCACTCTCATCTTCTGTGCTTTAACTCTTTATGGTTGGTCTCATTTTACAACTAGACTGCTGTAGGTTCCTCAAGCATGGTTCAGGGCACGTAGTAGCTGCCCAGCAAATACTTGCTTAATTGCTTTGTCTCAAAACATGTTTGGTGCATTCCCATGGAGGCTGAGTTTGATCCTTGCAGAATCACAGTGAATTGAGCACCTCAGGAGAGAAGACATGTTACCATAAAATATAGACACCTGGCTTTTAAATATTCATTTAGCCATGTATGAAGCTGTTTGAAAGCACCAACATTCAACATTACTCTTCAGTAACTGGTAAACTGGTAATGGGCCTCTTGGAAGCCAGCTCTGCCTAAGAGGTCATTGTGGCCATGTGGACGAGGTGAGTAGTCTTAAAGAACAGGAGGGGCGCTCTGTTTCTGCTGCCCCCTGTGGTTCGTGGGATGATCTGATACATGACTGATGAGATACCGTTTTCTCCTGTGAAACAGGGATGATGATCATAGTGTCTGCCATGGTATATAGTGTTTTGTTTTTCTGGTGCTTTCTCATATATTACTTCATATCACTAATTACATGGTAATGCCCAGAATTTCTCTGTGTTAACTTGGGGATGTGGTTCACAGGCAGTTGTGGGTTCTAATTTGTTTGCATTACTGTGTTCACCTTTCATAGGGTACTTTTGCGAGTCCGGATGCTGTACTACCTAAAAGCTGAAATACTGGGAGAAGCAGCTGATAAAGCATTTGAAGGAACTCCTGCCAGGTAAAACAAATCAATCTTGGCTCTCAGTGTTAAAGAATTGACATAAAATGTCTGTTCATGGAGCTTGACAAACTTGTCTGTTCTTCAAGAGGCATATGTTCCCACCCCGCCCAGGACCAGTGACCCAGATGGTAGCGCAGGCAAGTAGAATAAGGACAGTTCAGGCAGGTTATCTACAAATAAAATGAAGGTGAAGACGGTTTCTTATAAACACAGCTTTGGTGAGTTTTTTAGTTCATTTCACCCCCAATAGTGTTGTAAAATTGTTTTTTAAACAGTAATTTCTCTACCTTAAGTAATGAATTAATGAGTGTCATTTACTTTAATAGGCTTGATCCAAGTATAGACTAGAAGTTTTACCCAGATTCCCATTCTTGGCCTTAGTACTCTTATACATTTGAGTATTTCTCTTTTATTTGCTAATCATATTAATAATAATACTTGGTGGCCTGTTAGATTTGTTGTACCTAGTTTTGCAGATTAGTGTTTCCAAAACTATAGAATCTTATGGGAGTCTCCCAGAATTTCAGGGAATAAGGCTGCTAAGCTCTCAGCTGCCACTTGATAAAGCTGTCAGAAAGTCACAATTTATAGGTGAAATCACCAGACAGCCTCCTTTGCCTTCCCCAGAGTTGCGGTTTGCTCTGTCCCTATACATGCCTGTCATTCCCAGGGAACACTAAAGGTATTGATATTTGGACTTTGCTTTGAGATTACTTGAGGCCATAGTTTCTTCTTTCTCTTTCTTTCCATTGGTCAGTGCTAATGGCTTTAGCAGGCATAGAAGCACTAGAGAAGGAGAGAGGGACATAGATAGCCCTACCCATGCGGCAGTTTGTGATCAGAACCAATCCTCACAGTGACTATTACTACTTGATATGCCTCTGGAATCACTGTGGTAATTTCCAGTAGGGATAGGGGGATTGTGTGTTTTGGTAGAAAGGTTCTATTTGAGTTGTATAAATGCAGCAGAATTGAACTTGATAGTTTACATCAGGTGTTGCCTGGCAGAAGTTATCTGAACTTACTCACCCTACTGCCATGTGCTTTGAGTGTTGGAAGGTAGCTAGGTAGAACGTGGAGAGGGAGAGTGCATTGCCCACTCTCTTCCTTCCTTTTCTCTGCTTTCTTCAGTCTCTCACTGGCCCTATTCAGGTTTAATGCCTTGTTGTGGAGAAGTTGCCATGAAGCATGAGCAACAGTTCATCCCAGAAAAGTCGGGCAGCGCGTGGCACCGTGCAGGCAGCTGTGGGTTCCTGGAAAGGTGGGGCTGGGGAACACTATCCCCATAGAGGGGGCTGGGCCTGGCAAGGGGCAGTTAGTCATTTGTCACAGTAAGAAGAACCTGATGGAAGAAGAACTTCAAATGCTGCTGAAAAGCCACCCCAGACATCTGGGAGGGGAGGGAAGAGCCACCCAGGAAGATGTTCTCCCCAAACCCCAAGCCTTCAAAGAGCAATTACTGTACTCAGATGAATGAGACAGTGAGCTAGGGGTCAGTATGAGCTCTCAGCACATGGACAGAAGCTCAGAGAGGAGCTGATGGAACAGGCCTGCCAATCCCGCATGTCTGCAGCCTAGATCAAGTTAAGATCATCGCTTTGGCCAGGAGCACTGCAATTTGTTATCAGTTTTGACCTGACAGACAAAACAGAACCCTGCCAGGAGGCGCTATCTGTCGTGGCACTTATCCTCTGAAAGGCCCTCTTTATATCCCTGATTATATGCCATTGCAGACTGTATTGTTCTCAAATGGTGCTTGAGATCTCTATATGTCGAGACAACATGTTGAGCCAAGATGATTTAAGCACTGTTATTTTAAACGTTCAGTCATGTATGAATTCAACCTTTTGGGGAAGTTCTACCTTCAGATGACCAATTATCAACTGAAGATGCACATCAGAAGTACTTTATACATAGAGATCCCAAGGCCCCACCCTAGACCAATTGAGGATGGGTTTTCTCGGCAGTACTTCAAGACTCTGCATCAGTCAGTTGAAAGTGGAACCTGGAAATCAAGTGCATATGTTTAAGTAGCTTCCTAAGTGATTCTGATGCAAAGTTCTGGATAAGAAACATTGACCCACAGCCTTCAGAATCCTTCTGTTTGTTGTTTCTTCAACATCTCAGCATGCACCTAGGAATGTGGCTTAATACCAGGGTTAGGCCAGTAGCTTTTGGTGTTTTGTGTCTGTGTTGAAGGAACTCTGAGTCTATATCCTTCCTTCCACAGGGAGCTGGACGTGCCTCTGCCCGACATTGACTATGTGGAGATCCCAGTGGATTGGTGGGATGCTGAGGCTGATAAGTCCCTTCTCATTGGCGTGTTCAAGCATGGTGTGTATTTCAGTGAATGTTTCCCTTCTGTATCAGTTCCCCACAGGAAAGATGAGTTCAGGCACTCTTTGACTAAGCCTGGCATATTCCAGAAAAACTCCATAGTTCTATTGCACATCCCGCTTGGAAAATAGAGCCTCACCTCTGCCCTCTTAGAATTTCAATCAAATGAATGTGTAATTCATGATGCTGTGAACTTCTAAAGGACGACTGTGGCCACAAAGAACTTGTTTGGTGTGTCTCTTCCTCGCTTGTCTGCACTGTCAGGCCTGGGACTGCCTCTCTCATTCACTCTTATAGTCCCAGTGTCTGGCCTAGTGCCTGGCACATAGGAGGCACCCAGTGTTTCTTGAATGAAAGAATAATAAACGGGGGGAAGCATTTCATATGTTTGCATAATTTTAAGGTCGTTCTAGATAATCTCCATATTCCTAATGTATATCTTTTGCCCATTGGTACAAAAATCTAAGCATAAAAGATGTCATGGACAATTTTTTTTTTTTAATGTGGTAATCAGGAGACTAAAGGGGACTGAGAGAGGTTTTTGAATAGTTTGGGAAAACTGAAATAAGTGCCCTCTCTCATCACTTCTGGTACTGTTTTAAACACCTGCCCTTGCTTTCAGACAATTGCCACCATTAAAGTGGATAATGCAAGCATCAAATGATAGTCACCTGTAATATGCCTGATGGACACCTTCCCTCCCAGCTGAATCAACAGAAATTGCAAACTGGGAACTGGGGTTTAAAGTGGAAAGAGTTAGATATACCTGGCTTTAACTGTCAACTCTGCCACATACTAAATGTGTGACATTTGACAAGTCATAAGCTTCTCTGACCTGCTTTTTCACCTGTGCAATGGGTGGACCGTATCAAAAGAGCTGACCTGGAGGGTTGTCTGAAGATTAAATAAGACAGTGTATGTAGACCATCTGGAACAGTGCTTGGTATGTAATAGGTGCTCAGTGCTATTTCACTCTCCCTTATAACTCTGCTTTTGAAAATTGATTAACTTTCTAACCCATGCTGTATAAAGAGAATTCTTCAGCTTTTACATTCTAGCCAGCTGCATTTAAGTAACTGTGCGTATACATATTTTTACTTGGAATCCCTTCCAGACTTGGATTCTGGTGTTAAGAATACTGGCTTCTGGAGGTGCAGAAGCTTGTGACCTTTCTGTTAATCACTGGGTACCCCAGTGCAACCAAGACTTGGTTTAATTTTGGAAAGAACCCAGAAGATATGCTGTTGAAAGCAGCCAGATTACAGATCATCTGAACTTGGTTTGTGTGGGAAAGCCTGGTGACCCCAGGTCTCATTTCAGTGGTTGTGTTAGGGCACATTGCCAGATCCCTGCATGGAGACAACATAATGTGAAAAAAGGACATGTCTGAAGTCCCAGCAATATGGCAGACAGAATTTATATTCTTCCTCTCCCTCCCTCATGCAGAAGGCAGAGATGAATTAGGACTTGGAGGAAATGAAAATCCCTAATTGCAGGTTTCACTTAAAACCAGAGCTGAGAGCTCAGGAGCTAATGCAACAGCAGACCAGAGAGACTGAGTTTTAATACCCACCCAGAAATCAGAAACATGTCCTTGGAAGGGTTGCCCTCCAGGAAAGGGTGCAAGGAAAAGTTCTCTGGCCCAGGAAAGCAGAACTGGAAGAACATATTCCTGAGAGATAAAGAGATGAAGACATAAAAGAAGATGCCATGGATAGTAGTGTGAAATTGACATCTCAGGGGTATAACAAAACATGCCAGGCAAATGCTAACAACAGCCTGGAATGGCAAAATCAAACAAAAAATCTTTAGGGCAAAAATTTGGTAGAAAGAGGGTCTCAATGATTATAGGTGTAATTCACCAGGAAAATATAACTACCAGTCCTCAGGCAAACGACATAGCCTCAGAATATGTAAAAGAGGACAGGAGTCTAAGGCAGCCCAAGACCCTTTCTCTCCTAGAAAAGGCAGATTAATATTGGTACTTTACCTACTAGTTTATAATTCCTAATCAAGGTTTAGGGTAGTGATCAATCAGTTTATCTCTTAGTCTCATAGCAGAGGGTCCACCCCACTGAGGTATAAGATCACTCCCAAACCTAAAACTCCCGTGCTCTGCAAAGCAGTTTAGGAGGGGGATAAGTTAATTTGTGTTTCCAGAGCATGCTTGTGTTAATGACTTTGAGTTGATGCATCACCCATTCCATTCAGATTCTCCCAGATGCCAGTCAAGGTGAACTCAGTATTTAAAGTTAGGACTGAGGGTCAGTTCGTTTTAATCCAACAGCCAATCATATTAGTCCTTTTTATATGCCAGCCCTTGTATCTATCGCTCTGTTCAGCTTCCCTTTCTGACACATGGGATAAAATTGGACTATAAGGAAACCCAACCTAGTTAGACATAACAGGGTTCCCAGAGTAGGAGGATGTGGGGAAGGAGCTGCAAAACCAATGTGTCTGATTCTCTATGCCGTCCAAAAGCAGCAAACAGGTGAGAATTGTATCTGCACTTTGTGTCTCTTCATGGACACAGTATTTATATGAACATTCGTTTTTGGTCAGCACTACTCAAATCTGTCTGCTTTAGCTCCAGGATCTTCCCCTCATAGGAAGTTTTATAGGGTCTGATTAATCTTAAATAAGTATTTTTGTTTGTTTTGTTTTGTTTACTAAATAAGGGGAACAAAATGACTGTGTAAGCCCTAAGCAGATTTTGGGAGTTCTGACATTCTCGTTACTCTTGGTCAGGGTATGAGAGGTACAATGCCATGCGAGCAGACCCAGCACTTTGCTTCCTGGAGAAAGTTGGGATGCCAGATGAAAAGTCCCTTTCTGCAGAACAGGGTGTTACGGATGGGACCTCAGACATTCCTGAAAGGTGAGAAAGCCATGAAGGCCAACCCTGACGTGACATGCCATGCTATTGATCTCTGATCCCTTTCAAATACACTAGCACTCTTCATATCTCTTCCTCAGTGTCTGGCATCTCGCTTCAACCTTGCCGCACTGACTTCCAAAATTGCTACTTTGGTTATAGCCCACTGTGCCTCAGAACTGTTCTTTGGCTTCCAAGCACTTGGAACCAAATCCCAGCTCCTGTCCTTCATGGGTTCCCCCAGCTGCCCAGCATGCTCATCTCTTCTCTGCTCAGAGGATCCTTAAGGAAGAATTTAGACCTTTCATACCTGGCATAAAACTAAGAGGAGGCACAGAAAGTATAGGCTCCCTGACCTTGAAGTTCCTGAGATGAAATTCCAGTATTATTTAAGGATTGTATGGTTGATGAGTAAGATGGACTTAGAAGCTTGACGGCCAGGGCATTTCAGCCTGTCCGTGGGTTATGTGCAAAAAAGTACAGAAGCATCCCCTTTGGTTGAGTTTTATTACTATTGGCATAACCCCGAAAATGTGTAAATTCCCAGGAAAGCTAAATTAATATCAAAAAACAGTGTAGTTCTCCAAAATATACATATATTTGGAAAACATAACATTTATCTCAGCTTGTGCCTGGTAAGCTTTTGGTTTGATCTCCCCCCACCCCCCCAAAAGTAGCAGATGCTGCTTCGCCTTTCTCTAGGGCTGTGGCTGGGCCTAGAAATGAGAGTGGAGCACTGCAGGAGCCCCAACCATCTGCTCAGGCCAAGAGAAGCATGAAATGCATTTTCCTTGGGGGCTGGCTGGTTAGCTCAGTTAGTTAGAATGCAGCCCTATGGGCCGGCCCGGTGGCGCACTGGATAGTGCGCCGCTTGGGAAGCGCGGCGGCGCTCCCGTCCGAGGGTTCGGATCCCACATGCAGACCGGCTCCCGCTCACTGGCTGAGCGAGGCGCTGGAGCAGCGCCGAGGCTTGCAATCCCGTTGCCGGTCCCCGGTCCGGTACGGGGGCGACACTGAGGGTTGCGATCCGTTGCCGGACACGGAAAAAAGACAAAAGACAAAAAAAAAAAAAAAAAAAAAAAAAAAAGAATGCAGCCCTATAATACCAAGGTCATGGGTTCAGATCCCCATACTGGCCAGTGCCAAAAAAAAAAAAAAAAGTGCATTTTCCACCTGTCCCTAACTCCTGGTGAACATGTTAGCCACCTTAATGTTCTCTGCCCCAAAAGTTTTTCCTGTGGACATAATAAATATGCATTGTGGGAGATTTTAACAAAGGCCCGAAGGACAGGTGATCCTAATGTTAGATCACTGGTTCAGGGTGAACAAGTCTAAGTGAGGTACTATTTTAATTTGGGATCTTTGAGATGGAGATCACCGCATTAGAGATTAGGAGAGACATAAGATAGAAATAAGATTTTATTACTTACTGGTGCTGGGGGATACAGGGCATGCCCAGAGACCACACACACAGGTCAGGGAGCACATGGGCCCCATGGGCCCACACCTTCCTCAGAGAGTTTTAATTGGTGGGTTTAAAGCAAGCAGGCATGAGTTACAGGAGGCACACCATGACTGAGAGGTGGTCACTGTGGCCTATCTGAACAGTATGTGCAAGGCATGCGGGTCAGCAGGACCAATCAAATAAGCTATAGCTAGCTGTCCCATAGGGAGGTCGTCACTAGGGGGAAGTTGCATGAGGCAGGTAGCAGGTATCTGGATAAACCACATTGAGGAACTGGGAGGAGGTGGAGAACTAGAAACTGTGTGAAGGGTATGTGAAAGTCCAACTCATTCAAAATGGATGCTGAGGCATCATAAAATTACAAGAATTCACTCCAGGTACCTGAATGTGGCATAAAGCTTATATTTTTGTGGGGTGGCTGTTCTTTTTGTGGTTAAGCAATGAAGGTAGGAGATTGTCTTTGCCTCCAGGGCCTGAGCAGCAAAGACAAGAATATTTGAGACAGGAATATTTTAAAATCAATTTTAAAAGAAATGAAAAACAGGGATCAGCAAGCTAAGCTCATGAGGGAAAAGACTTCAGATAGCTAACCTAGCGGCAGGTGTCTCATGGTAAAGAACGCAAAAATGCCCTTCCTTCTCAGCAGTGACAGCAGAGCCTCTCGGAGGAGTTGACTTTGTCCACATGTAGGTGACTCTGTGGGTAGATTGACCCTTCTGTGATCTGGGTTGGTGTGTGAAGAAGCCTCACTCGGTTTACACAGCCTCCAGTGTCTAGAGTCTGTTCTCTTGTTAGATCGTGGTTGGTGGGCAGCAGTTACCTTTTTCTGATAGTATCACTGTTGAATAGCCGGCCTGTGAACTTGCCTGGGTAGATCCTGAGGCTGGACTCTCATGCTGCAATGTCAGTTGAGTGGAGGTTCTTGTATGTAAAAGTGGTGACATTGTTTGGTGATAGTTATTCATACTGTCTCTTGAGTACTGCTGAAAGGGAAGGAAAACTAAGATTTTGAGTGCCTGTGGAGGAAGAGATCTACTAATATTCCCTTTGGTCAGTGATTTGGGGGGTTTTCTTGCAAGCATCCTGGTTGCAAAATAACTCCTTGGTGATATGTGATTTTTTTTTTTAAACTTTTATTTAGAGGCAACATGGATAAAGAAGACAACGCTGAGGACAAATTAGATGGCCTCAAGAAACAAAAGGTGAGTCCGATGTGCTGCGTTGGTAATCCACACCGTCTTCCATACAAGAGAGGGATCTCTGTCTTGGTAGTGGTCTTGGGGAACTTGATTGCACTGCTGCAGTTGCATTGCATTTTCATTTAAGTAATCTTTTTATTTTGAGATAACCATAGATTTTAGATATAGTTTTAAATATAATACAGAGAGATCCCAGTTTTCCCCCATAGTAACATCTTGCAGAATTATAGCACAGTATCACAACCAGGATAGTGACATTGACAGAGTCAAGATACAAGACATTTTCATGATCACAAACACCATCCTGCTGCCATATTATAACCACATCCACTTCCCTTTTCCCTTAACCCCCTTTTTAATCCTTGGCAACCACTAATCTTCTCCATTTCTGTAATTTAGTCATTTTAAGAATGCTCTGTAAATGGAATCATCTAGTATGTAACTTTTGGGGATTGGTTTTTTTATTCAGCATAATTCCTTGGAGATTCATTCAGGTCGCTGTCTGTAGCAACAGTTCATTCCTTTTTATTGTTGTCTAGTATTCCATGGTATGGATGAACCATGGATTGTTTAACCATTCATCCATTAAAAGACATCTGGGTTGTTTCCAGTTTTCGGCTATTAAGAATAACACCTCTTTAAACATTTTCATACAAATTTTTGTGTGAACATACATTTTCATTTCTCTGGGATAAATGCCCAGAAGTATAATTGCTGGGTCATATGGTAGTTATGTTTAGCTTTTTTTAAGAAACTGCCAAACTGTTTTCTAGAGTAGCTGTCCTATTTCACATTCCCACGAGCAACATATAAGTGATCCACTTTTTCCTCACTTTCCATCCTCATCAGCATTAGGTGGTGCTGCTATATTTTACTTTAGTCATTCTGATAGGTATATACTGATACCTCATTATGGTTTCAATTTGCATTTCCCTGGTGGCTAATAATGTGGAACATTGTTTTATGTGCTTAATTGCCATCTGTCTATCCTCTTCAGTGAAATATTTCTTCATGTGCTTTGCCGATATTCTAATTTCATTGTTTTACTATTGATTTTTGAGAATTCTTTATATATTCTAGATACTAGTCTTTTGTCAGGTATGTGGTTTGCAAATATTTTCTCCCACCTTGTAGTGTATCTTTTTATCCTATTCACATTGTCTTTCATAGAGCAAAAGTTTCTAAGTTTGTGAAGTTCAGCTTACCAATTTTTATTTTTATGGATCACGTTTGGGGTGTCAAGTCTAAGAACTCTGCCTAGCTATAGATCCTGGAGATTTTCTTCTTTGTTTTGTTTTGTGAAAGTTGTATAATTTTACATTTAAGTCTGTGGTTCATTTTAAATTAGTTTTCAGATAAATGGAGTGAATTAGATCAAGGAGGATTGTTTTGTTTTGTTTATTTTACCTATTGATGTCCAGTTGCTCTAGAACCATTTGTTTAAAAAGTTATCTTTCCTACACTGAATTGCTTTTGCACTTTCGTCATTTAAATTAGTTTTCAGATAAATGGAGTGAATTAGATCAAGGAGGATTGTTTTGTTTTGTTTTTTTTACCTATTGATGTCCAGTTGCTCTAGAACCATTTGTTTAAAAAGTTATCTTTCCTACACTGAATTACTTTTGCACTTTCGTCAAAAAAAAAAAAGTCGGGCTGATTTTTTTGTCAAAAAATCAGTTGTGTTACTATTTCTAGATTCCCCATTCTGTTCTATTGATCCATTTGTCTATTCTTCTGTCAGTGCACACAGTCTTAATTAGTGCAGTTGTATCATAAGTTTTAATATGAGCTTCATAAAATGAATTGTGTGTTTTCTACTTTTCTGTTTTTTAATAGAGATTATCTAGAATTGGTATTAATTCTTTAGACATTTGGTAGAATTCTTCAGTTCTGGGCCTGGAGATTTCCTTTATGGGGGAGTTTTTAAATTATGAATTCAATTACTGTATCTATTTTATATTAGATAAGTTGTGGAAGGTTATGTTTTTCAAGGAATTGGTCTGTTTTATCCAAGTTGTCAAATTTACATCTGTTAAGTTGTTCATATTCTTTTATTATCCTCTTGATAATAGAATTTGCAGGGTTTTTAGTGTTATATTGTTTCATTCCTGATTTTGGTAATTTGTGTCTTCTCTTTTTTCTTTATCAGTTTTGCTATAGATTTGTCAACTTTATCTCCTTAAAGAACCAGCTCTTTGTTTCAATGATTTTCTTTATTGTTTTTCACTTTAAATTTTATTTATTTCTGCTCTTATCTTTATTATTTCCTATCTTCTACTTGCTTTGGTTTTATTTTACTCTTCCTTTTCCAGATTTTTGAGGTGGAATCTTAGATTGTTGGTTTGAAACTTTTTCACTTGTCCAATATATGCATTTAGTGCTATAAATTTCTCTCAGCATTGCTTTAGCAGTATGCCACACATTTTGCTGTGTTGTACTTTCACTTTCATTCTGTTTAATGTTGGTCCCCCCCCACCCCTTGAGACTTCCTCTTTTGACCCATGGATTATTTCGATGTTTTTTATTTAGTTTCCAAGTGTTTGGAGATTTTCCTGTTACCTTTCTGTTATTGATGTCTAGTTTGATTCTGTTGTGATCAGAGAACACATTCTGTATGATTTCACTTGTTTTAAGTTTGTTAAGATTTGTTTTATGGTCCAGGATATGGTCTATCTTTGTATATGTTTATTATTCTGGTCTTATTGGCTGGAGTGTTCCATAAATGTCTATTAGATCTTGTTGGTTGATAGCATTGCTGAGTTCTTCAGTATCCTTGCTGATTTTCTGTCTAGTTGTTTCATCAGTTGTTGAGAGGGGGATACTGAAATCTCCAACTATAATTGTGGATTTATCTACTTCTACTTTCAGTTGCATCAATTTTTGCTTCATGTATTTTGCAACTCTGTTGTTTGATACATACACATTTAGGATTATATGTTCTTGGTGAATTAACCTTGTTATCATTATATAATGTCTCTGGTAATTTTCTGTGCTCTGAAACATACTTTATCTGATGTTAATATAGCTGCTCCTAGTTTCCTTTGATTAATATTTGCATAAATATAACTTTTTCCATTCTTTTACTTTCATCCTGCCTTTATTGTTGTATCTAAAGTGTGCTTCTAGCTCATTTGGTTAGAGCACAGTGTTATAACACCAGTGTCGAGAGTTCAGATCCCCATACTGGCGGGCCACCCAAATAAATTAATAAATAGATATAAATAAATAGAGTTTCCTATAGACAGCATATAGTTGGGTCACATTTTTTAATGCGCTTTGCCAATCTCTGTCTTCTAATTGGTGTATTCAGACCATTTACATATAATGTAATTAATGATATCCCGAGGCTTAAGTCTGTCTTTTTATTGTCTTCTGTTTGTTTTCTCTGACTTTTGATTCTCTGTTTTCTTTTTCCTGCCTTCCTCTGGGTTATGTGAGCATTTTTTTTATGATTTCATTCGATTTATCTATTAGTTTTTATTACCCTTTTAGTGGTTGTTCTAGGTATTTCATCTCATGTGTAACATATCACAATTCACTGCTGCTATTATTTTACCAGCTCAAGTGAAGTGTAGAAATCTTAATTTCAACTTTGTCCATTTACCTACCCCCATGTATAATATAATTGTCTTAAATATTTCTTCTACATACATTTAGAATCATATCAGGTTATGTTATAATTTTTTGCTTCAGCTGTCAGATATAATTTAGAAAACTCAAGTAGGAGAGGAAAGTCTGTTATATTTATCCATATTTTTGTTTACCGTGTTGTTTCTTCTTCCTGGTGTTCCAAGGTTTCGTCTTTTATCTTTTTCAGTTTCGAGAAGTTCCTTTAGCCGTTCTTTTAGGGTAGGTCTGATGGTGATAATTGTCTTAGTGTTTCTTCATCTGAGAATGTCTTAATATCTCCTTCATTCCTGAAGGATATTTTCACTGGATGTAGGATTCTGGGTTGATGATTCTTTTCTTTCAGCTCTTGGAAAATATTTTGCCATTTCCTCTGGCCTCCATGGTTTCTGATGAGAAATCTGCCGTTATTCAAGTTATTTTTCCCCAATAGGTAAGGTGTCTTTTCTCTTTCACTGCTTTCAGGACTTTTTCTTTGTCTGTAGTTTTCAGAAGTTTAACTATGATTTTGTGTGTGTGCGTGCGTGTGTGTGTGTGTGGATTTCTTTGAGTTTATCCTGTTTGGAGTTCATTCACCTTCTTTAATCTGTAGGTTTATGTCTTTTGCTTAATTCAAAGCATTTTCAGCCATGATTTCCATGAGTACTTTTTCTGTTCTGCCTTCTTTCTCTTTCCCTTCCAGGATGTAGACAAAATTAGATCTTCTGTTATAGTTCCACAGGTCTCTGAGGCTCTGTTCAGTTTTTGCCCCCAATCTATTTCTCTCTTTTGTTCACATTGGGTACTTTCTGTTATTCCATCTTCATATTCAATGATTATTTTCTCTTTCTCCTCCACTCTGCTGTTGAGCCTGTCTGTTGAGGGCTTTTGTTTTTTAGGGTATTTTGTTTATTTTTCAAACCTAATATTCCCCTTTGGTTCTTCTTTGGATCTTTGTTTCTTTGCTAAGTCTTCTTCATTTGTGGGAAGTATGTGCAGAATTTCTCATGGACAACTGCTTTAAATTCTTATGTCAGATAATTCTGAAATCTCTGTCATCTTAGTGTTGATATCTGTTGATTGATTGTCTTTTTTCATTCAGTTTGAGATCTTCCTGGTTCTTGGTATGTGATTTTTGGTTAAAATCTGGACATTTTGGGTATCATATTGTGAGACTCTGGATCTTATTTAAGCCTTCTGTTTCAGTTGACTTCTTCAGACACATTTCTGGCAGGGGAGAGGGGTGGGGTGATCCCCTTGTTTCTGTAAGATGAGAGCAGTTCACATTGCCAGTCTGCTCCTGTTAACATCAGAAGGGGATGCTCTTCAGACACATTTCTGGCAGGGGAGAGGGGTGGGGTGATCCCCTTGTTTCTGTAAGATGAAAGCAGTTCACA